TGAGTCAGAGTGAAACTCAGCCTGGAAGGGGTGTTAGCAGCAGTGAGGAGAGGGAGATGTGGGGAGGAGGGAGGCTGGTTGGTTCATGGGAGAGACAGAGCAGGGCTGGGTGCAGGTGAATATGGAGAGCAGGGAGGGAGAGAGGTGGGGCGGGGGGCCTGGGGGAGTGCAGGGAATGAGGGTGGGGAGAGATGGGGAGGAGAATGGATTGTGGGGAGCAGGAGGGGGATTAAAGAGCGCCTAGGAAGAGGGGTCAAATCAGGGGAAGAAACAGGTGATGGTCCCTTTCCAAGCCCACAAGGTACATCCTGCTGTATGAATCAGCAGAATGAGACCCTGCTCCCAGAGAGGTGTTGCTGCTGAGCTCCCCTGGCTCCTTGGGCTGAGCTTCCCGAGCTGGGCCTGGAATGTGCCCTGGGGCTATGTTAGGCTCCTTGGGCTCAGCTCCTGGAGGTTGGGAGGGAGGAGAAATGGCACCTCCCAAAGGCCACCCCCTGTGGCACCCAGACGGGTAAATTGCAGAGCTCTGTGACCCGCCCGCTCGGGCTGCTGCTGTTTACATTGTTAGCACTGGGCATCTGAGGCTCTGAGCTAACCCCTCGCTGAGATGAATGGGGCAATTCACATCCCTCGAAGTAATTGTTCCAAACTCTCTGCAGACTCAGGTTTTCTACAGAAGACCAACTGAAGGAAATGACTAAAAAATAGTAATAATAAAAACAGAGAACCAGGAGAACAAGACAGCAGCTGTCTTCGCCACTGAAACCGTGTGCTAACTCCAGCTAAAATCCTGGTGAAGACAAGGCAGTTCTGGGTTTCCCTACCAGTTAGCAGGTTGAGTTAAACAGTATGGGGAAGCATAGGGTTCCCCTGGACCTGTTAACTCAGGAAAACTCCAGTTTGCTTTGCTTTCATTATAATTTATCTCCAGTTAGTTAACTTGAGTTAAGGACACACCATTTCTCGGCAGTGAAGACAGGGCCAGGGAGAAGGGCTGGTATGCTGTACTGCTGCATGCCAACCCTGAGCCCAGGATTACCAGGAGACTAATGGTTTGTCTACACATGAAAGTATTCTGGAATAAGGAAGAGTCGCCTGGAATAGTGGTTGAAGCATGAAGGGACATATGACTCTTCAGAGCATCTGGCACGTAAATATCTTGCAACGCAGGCTAAAACAGTGCCATGCTGTTCTCACTTTCAAGTGACATTGTAAACAAGACTTTAAAGTGGAACAGCTATTCCAGAATAACTCCAGTTGTGGGCACTCTTATTCTGGAATACGAGTGGTTTCTGATATAGCTAAACAAACAAACACCACTGTCGCCCACCTCCCCAAAAAAACCCCAGAAACCGCCTCCTCCATGATGCTCTACTGAACTCATTTCTCCTCACTGGGGGAGATGGGGGCATGACAGAACAAACACATGACAGATGTTAGTCACGTCTCTTAATGCGCTACTGGAAGATGTTGAGATGTGAGGCTGATGCGTGCAGTATGAAAACCTTATACGTTAGAATTCCTGAAAGGCTATTCCTGAGTAACTCCATGTGTTGCCACCTCATCAGAAGCAGGAAGCCTGCCAGACAACCAGTGGGGCCACTGGACAGTCGAGGTACGAAAGGAGCACTCAAGGAAGATTGTTGCAGAGAAACTAAATGACTTCTTTGCATCAATCTTTCCTGCAGATAATGTGAGGGAGCGTCCCAAACCTTAGCCATTCTTGTTAGGTGACAGATCTGAGGAACCTTCCCAGATTGAGATGTCATTACAAGAGGTTTAGAACAAATTGATAAATTAAACAAGAACTAGGACTGAATGGACTTGCAGGCTCTAAAATTTTACATTGTTTTCTTTTTGAATGCAGTTTTTTTGGTACATAATTCTACATTTGTAAGTTCAACTTTCATGATAAAGAGATTGCGCGACTGTACTTGTATGAGGTGAATTGAAAAATACTATTTCTTTTGTGTTTTTACAGTGAAAATACTTGTAATCAAAAATAAATATAAAGTGAGCACTGTCCACTTTGCACTCCGTGTTGTGATTGAAATCAATATATTTGAAAATGTAGAAAACATCCCAAAATATTTAAATAAATGGTATTCTAATTATTAACAGTGCAATTAATCATGATTAATTGTTTTAATCGCTTGCCAGCCCTACTACAAAGTAATGCACACTGGAAAACAGACTCCCAACTATACATATAAAATGATGGGGTCTAAATGAGTTGTTACCAGTCAAGAAAGAGATCTTGGGGCATTGTGGCTCGCTCTCTGACAATGCTGCTCAATGTGCAGCGGCAGTCAAAACAGGGAACAGAATGTTGGGAATAACTGGGAAAGGGAGAAATAATAAGACAGAAAATATCATATTGCCTCTAGATACATCCATGGGATACCCACACGGTGAGTACTGTGTGCAGTTCTGGTCACTTCATCTCAAAAAAGATCTATTAGAAAGGGAAAGGTCCAGAGAAGGGCAATGGAAATGATTAACGTATGGAACAGCTTCCGTATGAGGGGAGATTAAAAAGACTGGGACTTTTCAGCTTGGAAAAGAGACGACTAAAAAGGGACATGACAGATATAAAATCTTGACGGGTGTGGAGAAAGTGAATAAGGGAGTGTTATTTACCACTTCTCATAACAAAAGAATTAGGGGTCACCAATACAATTAATAGGCAGCAGGTTTAACACGAACAAAAGGAAGTATTTCTTCACACAATGCACAGTCAACCTGTGGAACTCCTTGCCAGAGGATGTTTGTGAAGGCCAAGACTATAACAGGGTTCAAAAAAAGAACTAGATAAGTTCATGGAGGATAGGTCCATCAATGGCTATTAGCCAGGCTGGGCAGGGATGGTGTCCCGAGCCTCTGTTTGTCAGAAGCTGGGAATGGGCGACAGGGGATGGTTCACTTGGTGATTCCCTGTTCTGTTCATTCCCTCTGGGGCACCTGCATTGGCCACTGCCGGAAGACAGGACACTGGGCTAGATGGACCTTTGGTCTGACTCGGTGTGGCTGTTCTTCTGAGTTTATGTGTGCGCACATGCATGCAGGATCAGTGCCCTGTGTGCGTCGATGCTGTGCGTATGAGTCTGGGTCAGTGGGTGCCGTGTGTGTGTGTGCCGAGCTAGCTCTGATTGTCAGTGCTGTCAGCTGAGCTCTGTCAGTATGTGTCGTGTCAGCTCAGTGCTGTGTTTGTGTTAGTGTGAGGGCCTCGTCAGCGGTGTGTGTGAGTCTGCGTCAGCTCAGAACTGTGTGTGAGAGAGCTCAGGCCACGGCAGTGCTGTGTGTGTGTGCGTCTGCTGAGTCAGTGCTGTGTGTGGATGGGAGAAGACTCAGAGTCAGTGCTCAGTGTGTCTCAGTGTGTGAGAGAGAGCTCTGTGTGTGGGTGTGAGCTGTGTGGGTGTGAGTGTGGGTGTGTGAGTGGGTGTGAGCTGTGTGGGTGTGAGTGTGGCTGTGTGAGTGTGGGTGTGAGCTGTGTGTGTCGGTGTGTGTGAGTGTGAGTGTGGCTGTGTCGGTGTGGGTGTGAGCTGTGTGTGTGAGTGGGTGTGAGTGTGGCTGTGTGAGTGTGTGAGCTGTGTGGGTGTGACCTGTGTGTGAGTGGGTGTGACCTGTGTGTGAGTGGGTGTGGGTGTGAGCTGTGTGTGTGAGTGTGAGTGTGGGTGTGGGTGTGAGCTGTGTGGGTGTGGGTGTGAGCTGTGTCTGTGGCTGTGTCAGTGTGTGTGAGTGTGAGCTGTGTGTGTGAGTGTGGGTGTGAGCTGTGTGTGGGTGTGGGTGTGGCTGTGTGAGTGTGGGTGTGGGTGTGAGCTGTGTCTGTGAGTGTGGCTGTGTGGGTGTGAGTGTGGCTGTGTGGGTGTGGGTGTGAGCTGTGTGTGGGTGTGAGCTGTGTGGGTGTGGGTGTGAGTGTGGCTGTGTCAGTGTGTGTGAGTGTGGGTGTGGGTGTGAGCTGTGTGGGTGTGAGTGTGGCTGTGTCGGTGTGTGTGTGTGTGAGTGTGGGTGTGAGCTGTGTGGGTGTGAGTGTGGCTGTGTCGGTGTGTGTGTGTGTGAGTGTGGGTGTGAGCTGTGTGGGTGAGTGGGTGTGAGTGTGGCTGTGTCGGTGTGTGTGAGTGTGGGTGTGAGCTGTGTGGGTGAGTGGGTGTGAATGCGGCTGTGTCGGTGTGTGGCTGTGTGAGTGTGGGTGTGAGCTGTGTGGGTGAGTGGGTGTGAGTGTGGCTGTGTGAGTGTGAGTGTGGCTGTGTGGGTGTGAGTGGGTGTGAGTGTGGCTGTGTGGGTGTGGGTGTGAGCTGTGTGGGTGAGTGGGTGTGAGTGTGGCTGTGAGTGTGAGCTGTGGGTGTGAGCTGTGTCTGAGTGTGGCTGTGTCGGTGTGTGTGAGTGTGAGCTGTGTGTGTGAGTGTGTGTGTGAGCTGTGTGTGAGTGTGGGTGTGGGTGTGGCTGTGTAAGTGTGGGTGTGAGCTGTGTCTGTGAGTGTGGCTGTGTGGGTGTGAGTGTGGCTGTGTGAGTGTGGGTGTGAGCTGTGTGGGTGAGTGGGTGTGAGTGTGGCTGTGTCGGTGTGTGTGTGTGTGAGTGTGGGTGTGAGCTGTGTGGGTGAGTGGGTGTGAATGTGGCTGTGTCGGTGTGTGGTGTGTGTGTGTGGGTGTGAGCTGTGTGGGTGAGTGGGTGTGAGTGTGGCTGTGTGGTTGTGTGTGTGTGAGTGTGGGTGTGAGCTGTGTGGGTGAGTGGGTGTGAGTGTGGCTGTGTGTGTGTGTGTGGTGTGGGTGTGAGCTGTGTGGGTGAGTGGGTGTGAGTGTGGCTGTGTGTTGTGTGTGTGTGAGTGTGGGTGTGAGCTGTGTGGGTGGTGGGGTGAGTGTGGCTGTGTCGGTGTGTGTGAGTGTGGGTGTGAGCTGTGTGGGTGAGTGGGTGTGAGTGTGGCTGTGTGGGGTGTGTGTGTGTGAGTGTGGGTGTGAGCTGTGTGGGTGAGTGGGTGTGAGTGTGGCTGTGTGAGTGTGTGTGTGTGAGTGTGGGTGTGAGCTGTGTGGGTGAGTGGGTGTGAGTGTGGCTGTGTCGGTGTGTGTGTGTGTGAGTGTGGGTGTGAGCTGTGTGGGTGAGTGGGTGTGAGTGTGGCTGTGTCGGTGTGTGTGGGTGGGACCTGCTGCCAGCCCAGCCCCCAGCTCCCAGCTCCCAGCATGCCCTGCCCGGGTGGCCGCCGAGCCGTGCGGGGCCGGGCCGGGCTCGCTGGTCCCCGGAGCCGCAGGGCAGCAGCCGGGCTGGGCCCGCCGGCCGGAGCCTCCTGCAGCGCGGGGAGCCGCCCGCCGGGCATGGCCGGGAGACCCGGACCCGCCCCGCCTGCCCAGGTAGGAGCCGCCGCTCCGGCCCCCCAGCGCGCCCCCAGCCACTGCCCCCCACCCGGCTGGACCCCCCCCCAGTGTGACCCCCCCAGCCACTACCCCCCACCCGGCTGGACCCCCCCAGTGTGACCCCCCCCAGCCACTGCCCCCCACCCGGCTGGACCCCCCCCCAGTGCGACCCCCCCCAGCCGCTGCCCCCCACCCGGCTGGACCTCCCCCAGTGCGACCCCTCCCCAGTGTGACCCCACAGCCACTGCCCCCCACCCGGCTGGACCTCCCCCAGTGCGACCCCCCCCCCCAGTGTGACCCCACAGCCACTGCCCCCCACCCGGCTGGACCTCCCCCAGTGCGACCCCCCGAGCCACTGCCCCCCCGGCGGGACCCCCCCCGACGGGACCCTCCCCCGGCGTGACCCCCCCCAGCCACTGCCCCCCACCGGGCGGGAGCCCCCCCAGTGAGACCCTCTCCAGCCACTGCCTGCCTATTCGGCGGGACCCCCCCCAGTGTGACCCCCTCCAGTCACTGCCCCCCACCCAGCGGGACCCTCCAGTCACTGCCCCCCACCCAGCAGGGGCCCCCCAGTGTGACCCCCCATCCACTGCCCCCCCCCAGTGTGGCCCCCCATCCACTGCCCCCCACCCAGCGGGGCCCCCCAGCGTGACCCCCCCAGCCACTGCCTGCCTGCCCAGCAGGACCCCCCCAGCCACTGCCTGCCCACCTAGCGGGACCCCCCCAGTGTGACCCCCCCAGCCACTGCCACCCCACCTGGCTGGACCCCCCCAGTGTGACCCCCCAGCCACTGCCTGCCCACCCAGCGGGGCCCACCCATCCACTGCCCCCCATCCAGCAGGATACCCCAGTGTGACCCCCCCATCCACTGACCCCCATCCAGCGGGGCCCCCCCAGTGTGACCCCCCCAGCCACTGCCTGCCCACTCAGCTGGACCCCCCCCAGCCAATGCCTGCCCACCTAGCGGGACTGCCCCAGTGTGATCCCCCCAGGCACTGCCTCCTACCCAGCGGGACCCCCCCAGTGTGACCCCCCCAGGCACTGCCCCGTACCCAGTGGGACCCCCCAGTGTGACCCCCCCACCCGGCTGGACCCCCTCAGTGATATCCCCCCACCCAGTGGGAGCCCCCAAGTGTCACCTCCCAGCCACTGCCCCCCCACCCAGTGGGACCCCTCCCGACACCCAGCCACTGCCCCCTCCCCAGCTCAGAGGTGTGAAAAATCCACATCCCCGAGTGATGTAATTATACGGACCGTAGCCCTGGTGTAGACAGCGCTGTGTTGGCGGGCGAGCTTCTCTCTGCCCCACGGCTACCGCCTCTCTGGGGCTGGATTAAGCACACCGACGGGAGACGCCCTCCCCTTGGCACAGGGCGGCACAGCTGCAGCGTTGCGGCATTTCAAGCGTAGACCTGCCCGGAGAGACCCTAGCGCTACCCGTCTACGTTTCTAGCGCAGAGCGGGCCGTAGGCGCTAAGCAGGGCCAGCCGCCGTCCCAGCCCGTTCTGCAGAGTTCAAGCTTCGTGTTAACAGCACAGGAAGCTTACACGCTTACATCCCCTTGTGCAAGCAATGGCTCTGGGATGGGTGGGCTGCCCCATGTCCTCAGCAGCCAAGGCCATATGCCAGGTCTCCAGGGAGGAGGGAATGTTGCACGGTGGAGGAGGGGGGCTGTGAGAGGTTGTGGGGCTTAGCAGGGTCTTTGTTATTGGGACCTTGGGTCCTACTTGTACATTGTAATGCTCTTTTGATTGCTTTTGTTCATGTATCCAGAGCATGAAATGGGCACGTTCTTTAGCAATTTTAAGAAAGAACCCCCTTGCTCTCCAGTCATCCACAGAGCATTTCAGGAGACCCAGGGCAGACATGACCCAAATACAACCTCAGTGTGAACAGGTCTAGGTTATGCTTCATTGTCAAAGCGAAGACAAGGCCAAGCCCCCGTTGCTCTGCCCAGGTTAGCAGTGTAAGCCAGGCAGCTCCCTAAGGAGGGCGGGCTGTTGATCAGGTTTCGGTGCTGTGAACAGTGTGGGTATTTAACTAGTCCCCAGACAGGCGTCTTGATGAACGCACTGCCATGAGTGGGGATAGTTCACGCCTATCTTAGAGCTGCCCTGTGAAAGCGCGGCCCCCCTGAAGTCGGTGCAAAACTTCCGTTGTCTTCAACAGGATCCGGATTTCACCCATTGTTTCAGGCTCATTGCAGGGACCGGGGCTGTAATGGTGCATAGCAGCCCTTCAGCATCCTCCCTCCCACCGCCCTGTGTGTACTTCATTTATCACTCACGCTAGGGATGTTTTCCTTTTGCGCCCTTGCTCGTGGTGAACTCTCTGGGGACTCCTGGCCAATTCCTGCAACCGCTGGGCGATTTTGCCAGTGAGTTCAGTGGGACCAGGATCTGCTCATCGGCCAGATTCTGCTACCGGTTACACCTGTGTAACTTGATGGGCATCGGTGCCGTTTCTCAGTATTTACACCTGTACAAAAGAGCTGGTAAAGCACAGGATCGGGCTGCTCGAATTCACTGCAGCTGCTCTGCCACAGCCCAGAGTTTCCAGAGCGGCGAGTGCTGCCACGCACCCAGAGAGCTATGGACAAATGCTGAGCAAGGGTAATTCCTCTTTTGCCGGTTTGGCAGGTGCATTACTCGCCTCCTGTACACCTGCCTGGGAGCTAGCCCGGACTAGACCAGGACACACATTCCAGTAGGCTCTCATGCTACCGCTCACATCACCACTGAATCTGGCCCAAACACTCCGAGGCGGTTGAACCTACTCGCTCCAGGCTGCATTTGGTGCTAATCTTACATGTTTTTTCCCCATAGACTCCAAGTCCAGAAGGGACCACTGTGATCATCCAGTCTGGCTGAAGTACACAGGGATGGATAACCCCCCTGAGAGATACTTGCTGTGGGTTATCGCTGTGAATCATTCACAAAGCTAGGGCTGACATGGGACTTGGACCCTGTGCTAGCCTTCTGCACAGGGGTGAATTTCCCCCCTAGAAAGCCGTTTTGCTGGGACTCGGGGCTGCCGGCAGTGCTGAGTGTGGAATGCTTGTGATTGCAGGTGCCAGTGATATTTGATGATGTTGCTGTCTATTTCTCCCGGGAGGAGTGGGACATGTTTGCGGAGTGGCAGAAGGAGCTGTACCGGGAGGTGATGACGGAGAACTATGAAATGCTGCTTTCTTTGGGTAAAGAACTGTTTTCGTTCTTTTGCTGAGACGTGTGTGGGCTCTTTGTTTCGGGGCTCCCGTTAGCATGTTTGATCTGTGTTCAGAATCCCAGCCACCTCCGGCAGAGCAAGGGGCTGATTTAAAACCACTGAAAGTCTGTGTAATGAGCACTCTGGCGTGATGGTGGGTTCTCCAGCTCTGCTTCACACTTGCAGGGATGAGCAGCTTCTCAAGCTGCGGCGGTGACTCACTCAAGGTGTTATGACAGCTGCTGCTGTTTTCTCTCTCCAGCTTTCACAGTGATCTCCCTAGGTGAGAAAAAACAGAGAATAGGCTGCTTGTCAGGGACAAGACAGACAGGGCACTCTCACTGGCCAGTCACTTCACAACTGTGCGAGGGTTTGTGGTTAAGCCTAGCTAGGTAGCCATTGCAGTTACCCAGCCTTCATCTGTGTGTGAAACACAAAAGCAGCATTTGCTGTTTGATGTGTTATAGGCCGAGGCCTGAGTTGTGTCAAGGCTTCTAGCCTATGCATGGATGTCTATTACGCTGTTAATAACCCCCATATTTTCTATTGTCTCTGCACATTTTGAAAATCGGCACTAAACGGACTTTTCTGCCATCTCGTTACCGGTCTATCTGCTCACGACTCTTCAAAAGCAATGGTCAGTAAATTGGCTAGCTAATTCCCTTAGTACCCTAGGGTGCCATCCCATACGTACAGGCTGATCTGGATAGGTGTATATTTTCCAAGTGTTTTCTCACCAGTTCTAGATCAATGGTTATTTTTACTGGGTCTCCCGTCCTTACAGATTGTTCAGATTTCTTTATTTTTCTTCTTAAAGAACCATTTCCAAAAGGAGTGAGTACCGTGGCCATTTTGGTTTCCTTTACTGATGGTTCCCCCTTGTACTTTTTTCCCACGACACACTTGTAAAAGCCATTCTTTTCACTGTTGCCCTTTGTCTGGCATTAATTCATTTGGCCTCTTTACTGCCCTTATCTTTTCTCTTCACTGTACATTTTCTTTTCAGCTGCCTCCTCACTCTTTTTCTAGCACAGACCCTCGCACCCAGGAACAGTCCCTCCTGAAGGAAGCTGTGCCCGCTATTTCTTTCGTACATTATTCTTTTCAGAGGAGCTGTGCCCTGTTGTGCCTTAATTATCTTGTCGTCTTCTGCACTGGCTCCCGTCCCTACTGCCTCCCGCTGCCCCTCGCTTGCTAGGAATCCAGTCCTGTAGTCCTTTCTCACACGTTCTCTCTACCCCTGTGAATCAGCCTGCAAAAGAGTGCCGCCTTCTGGATTTGCTCCAGAGCTCTTTGAAGTCAACGGAAAGACGCCCATTGGCTGCAGTGGGCTTTGGAGAAGGCCCCGTGTGAATCTAGCTGACTAGGATAAACTCAGGCATTTTATGGTGGTATGTTTCGAGCCGTCCTGTTACAGGCAATCAGTTCCTCCTTAGAATTAGGAAGCAGACCCAGGATGGCCTCTCCTGTTTGGCTGGAATCTCTACAGCCAGGATCATAAACTGCCTTATCCAGAAGGCCTCTTTGAGGATGATTGCTTGGCTGTATTTATTATGCAGCAGCTATCTGGGTAATTCAGATCCCACACAACTACAGCGGTGTGTGGACTGGGGCTTGGTGCAGGAATTTTTTCCTCTTTCTCTTGTCCCTCTGTCGTGGTGACCTGTAGAAGATGCCCCTTACTTCATATCCCTTGTGCCCTAGAATTTCTCCACCACCCTCCTCGTAGTCACATGGCAGCTCCCAGTCCCTTTTGTCACATACTGTAATGCTTCTCCCACCTCTAACGCAACGAAGGCTCATCGGTGCACATGCAGACTGAGGAGTGACTACACTTCTGTGAGACACACCACATAACGCTCCTTATTATGGGCCAGCCCTGTCTGAGCCAGACTTACAACAGGCCCCCAGTGGCTCTTGCCAGCTCCCAGAGCCTGAGGGACAGAATATTGGCATGGCTTAGCAACCGGCAAGGAGCTGCAAATCCAAGAGTGGGATTGAATGGTCTGTTTTCATCAAGACAGAAGGTAACCACTGGGGCCGGGAGATTCTCTACTAGGTCCTGTGGTGTTCACTGCTCCGGAAAGGGAGGTACGCAGATGGCACAGAGGGACATTACTGAAGACCAGAGAGGGCTGGGAGAACCTGCAGGCCATGTCTGCATAGGGACAATCAGAACAGCTAAGGTGGATCCTGTCAGGCTGTCTGGAGTGGCTCACAAATGTGGGTGCCAACCTCAGGGCAGACTGGCATAAACCCCCAGTTGCTTGTGCATTCAATACTTAGATTTCACCCCTCAAGTAACAAGTGTGAATGCCTCAAGCACTATCACAGCCTTTGTATGGAGTCACAGACAGCGTGACCCAGGGGACCGTCAATCTGGCCACCCAGGCAAGCCTGCCTTTGTGACAGAGGGTCCCTTACACCAAAATTCAGGTTTCAGAGTAGCAGCCATGTTAGTCTGCATCCGCAAAAAGAAAAGGAGGACTTGTGGCACCTTAGAGACTAACCAATTTATTAGAGCATAAGCTTTCGTGAGCTACAGGTCACTGCATGGGATGCATTCAGTAGAAAATACAGTGGGGAGATTTTATATACACAGAGAACATGAAACAATGGGTGTTACCATACAGACTGTACCAAGAGTGATCAGGTAAGGTGAGCTCTTACCAGAGGAGAGCGGGGGGGGAGGGCATCATCAAGGATCTACAACCTATCCTGAAGGACGACCCATCACTCTCACAGATCTTGGGAGACAGGCCAGTCCTTGCCTACAGACAGCCCCCCCAACCTGAAGCAAATACTCACCAGCAACCACACACCACACAACAGAACCACTAACCCAGGAACCTATCCTTGCAACAAAGCCCGTTGCCAACTGTGTCCACATATCTATTCAGGGGACACCATCATAGGGCCTAATCACATCAGCCACATTATCAGAGGCTCGTTCACCCGCACATCTACCAATGTGATCTATGCCATTATGTGCCAGCAATGCCCCTCTGCCATGTACATTGGTCAAACTGGACAGTCTCTACGTAAAAGAATAAATGGACACAAATCAGATGTCAAGAATTATAACATTCATAAACCAGTCGGAGAACACTTCAGTCTCTTTGGTCACTCGATTACAGACCTAAAAGTGGCAATTCTTCAACAAAAAAACTTCAAAAACAGACTCCAAGGAGAGACTGCTGAATTGGAATTAATTTGCAAACTGGATACAATTAACTTAGGCTTGAATAAAGACTGGGAGTGGATGGGTCATTACACAAAGTAAAACTATTTCTCCATGTTTATTTCCCCCCCTACTGTTCCTCACATGTTCTTGTCAACTGCTGGAAATGGCCCACCTTGATCATCACTACAAAAGATTTTCCCCCCTTTACCCCCTGCTGGTAAGAGCTCACCTTACCTGATCACTCTTGTTACAGTCTGTATGGTAACACCCATTGTTTCATGTTCTCTGTGTATATAAAATCTCCCCACTGTATTTTCCACTGAATGCATCCGATGAGGTGAGCTGTAGCTTACGAAAGCTTATGCTCAAATAAATTTGTTAGTCTCTAAGGTGCCACAAGTCCTCCTTTTCTTTTTACCAATATTCAGGTTACTCCCAGTCCCAAAGGTCAAGTGAACACTAGATCTCTCACCAAAGACAACACTTAAAGCCACTCCTGTAATAAACTAACTAAAGGTTTATTAACTAGGGGAAAGAAATAGTTATTTACAAGATTAAGGCAGGTAAACAGACACACACAAATGAGTTACAGTCTTAGGTTCAAAAGACAAGAGAAGCTTCTATAATAGGCAAGCTCTGTATGTCCTTTAGGGCTAATCCAACCTGAGCAGCTGGGGATCTTTGCCTCTCTGAGGCCAAACAGCATAAAGTTACTTCTGGTCTGGCATTTTTGTTACCTTCCCATAGAATTCCCATGGCAGGGTTGAACGTATGTGCATGTCTCCTCTTCGTGGGTATGGGGGGGAGCAATCAACAGTCTTCTGTCCACTGGTGTTACGCATGGGCTTGTCTAATGTCCAGAGAGCTTCTTTTGTTGCGCAGGAGAGACACTTCTTGTGGTAAACTAGCATTTCATACTCGGGAATGCTTCTCTCCTGACTGGGAGGGTTTCCAGTTTCAGATCAAACACTTTTGTAGCTACATTAGAGCCAATATTTAAATATTACCTTATAACCTGGGGTACAGAAGTCATAAGCGAGATTTATACATGCAGCATCCTAGAAGCATTTAATGAAGTCTAAACCCATTCTTGTCACTCTAATATCTATTTTAGCCCTACTAACACACTGGTGAGTCAAACTGGTTTCCAGGTACGCATTGGTCAGTGTTCCCTGAGGCACAGGGGCCGTGGCACGAGCTGGCACCCAGTCTGCCAGCGTCACAAAACCACCAAAGGTGTGAAGCCAATGGGCATAAATGAAAGCACATTAAACTCCCATATGGATGGTCTCACTCAGGAACAAAGGGGCTTTAGTTCATTGTAATTTAATTTGGAGGAGGAGTAAATTCCAGCAAACTAAGGCCTGGTCTACACTAAAAAGTTAGGTTGACCCAGCTACTCAGGTACCCCCCTGAGCAATGTACTTAAACCAATCTAACCCCGTGTAGACAGCGCCAGGTTGATGGAAAAAATTCTTCCGTTGACCTAGCTGCCTGCCTCACGGCTAGGTGGATTACCTACGCCAATGGGAGAACCCCTCCTGTTGGCGCAGGTGGCGTCGATGCTGGTGTGTAGCAAAGGTGCATTTCAAGTGTAGACGAGCCCTTTGTCACTCTCCCGAGAGTCCCTGGGCAGCGGCTGGCTCAGAGAGATCGAAACAAGCCAGGTGAATGGGCAGCAGTGCAGCGAATGGCATTTGGTGTGGATAAATGTGGGATCTGCACACCCTCCTGCAGCATGTAGGAGCACAGAGAGGTGCGACGTGGCCCTTTCATCTCACTGAATGTGCGTCAGTTAAAAGGAACCACTTCAAGGTGATAAACATATTGTTTCATCTGTGTCGTGTCCACAGCTTTCAGTCTGTTCCGCTCCACCCTCTGTTAGTCCTTCTCCATTTTAGAACTGGAACGCTCCTGAGCGGTTTTACACCAATTGTGCAGGTGATGACAAACTGTTCGCTGAAATCAAGACTAAACTATTCATATGATACCAAGCCCTGACAGCCCCTGGTCTCTTCCCACTCACAGGCTACCCGGGCCCCAAGCCTGATCTCTTATATCGGCTGGAGCGTGGGGAAGAGCCATGGGTCCACACACCGCAGGGCCCCGTGGCGTGGGAGAGCCCCTCTCCGGGTGAGTAGCAGTAATCCCTGCTCCCTCAGCGCTGCTCACGCTCTGCAGTGAGGAGCTGGAGTGACAGAATCGTAGAACCATATAGTTAGAAGGGACTGTAAGGGTCAGAGTCCAGTGACCCTGTCCCAGGCTGCTGCCATGGCTGCCCTTTCTCCCCTGGCTTCCTCCAGCACAGGTGTCATGTCTGGGCATGTCCCATCTGCCTCCCCTCCCCTGTCTATTCATCCCCAGCACAAGCCCCTTGCCCCTCAGTTTTCAGACTCCCTGTGGACCATGATTATTTCCGTGAAAATTGTCCGCTGAGCTGGCATGTTCTCCTGTTTCAGTCTCTCCTGGGGAGTGGGGCTGTTAGTCAGGGGCGCTGGCTCTTTCACCCCCACATCCCTGCTGCTCTGCTCGACACTTCCAGTGTTTGCTCCTCCCAAGCAGGATCATCCTCCAGGTAGAGCCGTCATCGCTGTGCCGACAGGGTGACCTACAGACGCATATGCTGGGGGAGGGATGTGAGGCTGCCTTGGTCAGGCCCCACTGCAGGGGGGTTTGAGTGTTTCCCGGGTCTAGGAAGTAGCATCTGGCTTATGTTCCCTCCAGCAGAGGAGGAGGAGCTGTGCTGTGAGCCGTGGGTCAGCGCCCAGCAGGACTCCATGTTGTGGGAGCCTCCGGAGAGCCCTTGCCGAGGTGAGTAACACCCAGCCCAGCTCCCTTGGAGAGAAGAGCTGGGCAGAGACCCTGTCCAGGCTGCTGAGGCTCTGTTCTCGTTCACATGGGGCTGAGGTTAGGGAAAGGCACTGGGCTGTGTTTCCCTAAGATCACAGACTGGGTTGGGGGCCCGGGCAGACCTGTGTCTGGTTACCTTACATCCCATTCATCCAGCATGGACTCTTCCCTGCCCGCTCGCTGGCCCCAGTGGGACACTCCTGCCTCCTGCTGGGGAGAGGCTAGGCTGCTCCTGGGCCCTTCATCCTCAGCAGTGTGTCTGTACAGGCAGTGACGGTGTCCTATTCTCAGCCCACGGAGAGGGGCCCCTTCATGGGAATGCTACCGCAGTTTGCTGTGGCGGGAAGATGTAGGCGCTGTCCTTCCAGGTGGGTGTGACTGGGGGATGCCACCTTCCCGGTATATCTCGTACCCATTAGGGACTCACAAGAGATTGGCCGAGGAAACAGGCTTCCTGGGGTACCATCAACCCTGGGGGAAGCCTTGAATGCAATGGGACCTGCGTACAGCAGAATAGATTTGGTACCTTGTTTCTGCTTCCTCCCTGCTGCAATCCAACCCTCCCCAAATGATGCCCCCACCTCTCTGTGCTCTGAGGAGTTGGGAGTTGTGCGCTGCTGGTACCAGGCTGTATGTGCCATCTGGGGGACGTCCCAGCCCCATCCCGCTGCTGGTGGTTAGGAGCCGTTTCCTCTTGGCTGCAGCTTGAGACAGTTTCTGGATTCTCTTTTCCAACCATCAGGCGGCGATGTCCTGAGTGGGTCCGGGGAGCAGCAGCGCCGGTTATGGGCCAGCATCCTCCAGTGCGCCGTGGCGTGGGAGAGACCCGAGAGCATCGGCCGAGGTGAGCGGCAGCGGTCCTGGGAGCTGCTCCAACTCCAGGGCGAAGAGCTGGGAGCAGCGACTCGCCGAGCTGCTGCCCGGGCTTGCTCCAGCAGGGTTTGTCGTGTCTCAGGAGGTGCCTGTTGGCCTTCCGTCCCCTCCCGGGCCAAGCCCTTTGCCCACCCGTTTTCTGATCTCTCTGGGCTGTTGCGGCGAGGTGCGGGAATGCAGCTGCTGTGCCAGATAGCGTTCTGCTGCCATGCTCGACACCCAGACTCGCACCATTGCGGTCACTGCCACTACTGGGCATTCACACTTGGCGCACGCCCAGGGCCGTCTCTCGGCCCCTCCAGGCAATGTGTGTTTACACAAGGAATTTTCATCTCCCTTGCACACACAGTTTCCTCCTCACAGGCCTGAAGCCCTCAGTCCCTTACAGACGCTGCTGTCCAGGGTCAGACACGCCCCTGCCGGGTCTGAGGGGAGGCTATTTTTAATACTCAGGTGGTTAAGATTAGGGGAAACTCTTGCCGGATTCGCTCTCCCTAAATCCCCTGACTGGGAGCAGGTGGGCCTGTTAGGAGAGCCCCTGGGAAACTGCCTCTGGTCACCCCCACACTGAGTCTGCCCACGCTGGACTCTCCCCACTCGGGGCAGGTCGGGCTCTTCCCTGCTCTTGTACCCTCAGCGCTTTGCAGTGTTGGTGACTTTCTCCTGGTGGCTCCTGCACTCACCGGATGCTGGGAGATGCGGCACAAATTGCCTGTCGGGAGATGCTGCGGCAGAGTGAGGACCTGGAGACGCCCATTGCCTGGGGCTGGCAGTTCAGAACTGGGAGCTATGGGGTATTCACAAGAGAAAATCTGCTTTCATGAGAACACAGTGAGCCAACGCCTCGCTGGGGTGATTGCATTGGAGTTAATGGAGTTACCCCAGCATGAATGTGGCCCATTGTCTGCTCCCCACTGAAATCGCAGGCCCTTCTCCACTTCCTGCAGGAGCTACAGGTGCCTCCTGGGAGAAGGGTCGTGGAAGTAGGGGCGTGGGGGTGCTCAGTCCCAGAATATTAGTGTTTTCTCTTCCCTGAGGGATAATCTCTGGATTCTCTTTTCCACCCAGCAGATGGCAGGGTCAGGAGCAGTTCTGAGGAGCAGCATCCGGATGAAGGGGCTGAGACCCTGCAGCCCTACAGGGTGTTACTCCGGCGATCAGAAGAGGGAGCTGTCCTGAGCCCTGAGCTGCAAGGAGCCTCCCGGAGCTCATGTGGGGCTCAGAGACCGGAGAGTGAGCTGGGGGCCACGTGGGGGTGTGACCGGTGCTCTAGCAACTCCCTAAATATGCAGTCCGGGCCTGAGACTGGAGAGGGGCCGAGTCCATGCCCGGCGTGTGCTCCGAGAGCCAATGGGACGGCCCCTCCCGATGCACAGGATAGCAGCGCTCCCAAGAAGGAGAAACCCCACAAGTGCCCGGAGTGCGGGAAAGGCTTCCGGAGGAAGTGGGATCTCACCAAGCACCGGAGAACCCACTCGGGGGAGCGTCCCTACCCCTGCACGGACTGCAGCAAGAGCTTCAGCCACGTCTCCAACCTCATCAAGCACCAGCGCATCCACACGGGGGAGCGGCCCTTCGCCTGCAACATCTGCGGGCGCAGCTTCACCCTGAAGCAGGTGCTCGTCCGGCACCAGCGCATCCACACGGGCGAGCGGCCCTTCGCCTGCACCAGCTGCGACAAGAGCTTCAAGGACAAGCAGAAGCTGACCATCCACCAGCGCATCCACACCGGCGAGCGGCCCTACGCCTGCACCGACTGCGGCAAGAGCTTCGGGCAGAGCCAGCGGCTCAAGACGCACCGGCGCATCCACACGGGGGAGAAGCCCTACCTCTGCAGCGACTGTGGCCGGGCCTTCAGCCAGGTCTCCAATCTGTACACGCACTGGCGAACGCACACGGGCGAGCGCCCCTACCCCTGCTCCTACTGCGGCAAGAGCTTCAGCCTGAAGCACGACCTGACCAAGCATCAGCGGGTGCACACGGGCGAGCGCCCCTACCCCTGCACGGACTGCGACAAGAGCTTCAGCCAGAAGCAGGACCTCACCAAGCACCAGCGGGTGCACACGGGCGAGCGCCCCTACCCCTGCGCCCAGTGCGGCAAGAGCTTCAGCAACGTGTCCAACCTCCTTGCCCACCAAAGGACCCACCTGGGGCAGCGGCTCCCAGTGGCCGGCCCGGCCCGGCCCGGCCTGGAATGAACCAAGGGGGTGCTGCTGTGAGCCCGTCAGGAATTTGGGGTACCACGTCACTTGGGCTGTGAGCCGCGTTCTGCTCCCCTTCCCGCCAGTGCAAGTCAGGAGCCGCTCCATTCGCTTCTCAGCGGATGTGCTAACTGAGGAAGCTGAGCGGAGGGGGAGCAGGGAAAGGGACTAGCAGAGGGTGCTAGATCAAGCCACCCCAGCCGACATGTTGTCTGGCAGCACCTCCAGGACTGAGATCCCATTGGTTTCAATAGCACTTACACCGGGGTCTGATCCACCCCACGACATCTCAAGCAAGTGTAAGTTACGCTTTTGTGGCCCAGGCTCTGGCAGCCAGCTCCAGGCACGTTTCATTGAATATCAGGGTTGGAAGGGACCTCAGGAGGTCTTCTAGTCCAACCCCCTGCTCAAAGCAGGACCAATCCCAATCAACTAAATCATCCCAGCCAGGGCTTTGTCAAGCCTGACCTTTCACTCCATTACCGCTTAGCCCCGCTTCTTGAGCGGCTCGCCCCAGATGGGCGACTCACCCTGCTGACCCAGGCCTCGCCCCGGGAGGAGCTGCCTGGCCCAGACAGTGCAGATCACTGCGGTAATAAGGACTCTAGTCTAGTGTTTCTCAGATGCGGCCACAGCAGTGATTGGGGGGGGCGTTCAAAGCATTGGCCCCACCTCCAGGGCTGTCAGTCGTGGTTGGGCTCTGCCCCCATCTGGAGACACACAAGCTGGAGGAGCAAGCAGCCAGTGAGTTCCCCACCTTCCTGGGGGCAGCAGGGTCGGGCATCAGCCCTTAAGTGTCGGGCTCCAGCCGTGGGGCTTCAGGCTTCATTCCCTGGCTGTGCCATGGCGGGCTCTGCCCCGAGTTCACCCTCTCCGTCACCCTGGCCCCCACTGCCTCCCCTGTGCCCCATCGTCCCTGGCCCCCGCGGTCTCCATACCCACTTCCCCATCTGGGCTTAATTTGTCCCCAGGCTTGCCGGGACTGAATCAGTCTGCTGTGAGAAGTGATACTTGTATGTTGTTAGCACTTCTCACAGCAGACTGACTCTGTAGCAAGTCTAAAAAAAAAAAAGCAACCCAAAAAGCAAAAGAAAGAAGAAGAAAAAAAGTCAAGAACGTGCAGAGCACCTTGTGTTTCTATTCTGTTTAGGGCCAGTAAAGAATAGAGACAACTGTACATTATTTTTAATATTGAGTCTGCAAAAAACCCTACATAAATGAATCACACGGACCTGGATATGTATCTGTCTATATTGATTTGTTTTTCCTAAAGTTAATTAAGTATTTTAGGAAAAATTGTGAGAGCGGCTGCTAGCAAGAGTTGGTGGCCGCACTCTGAGGCCACCAAAACATTTGTTGTGAGAACCCCTGCTCTAGAAAAGCCAGCTGGAGGGACAGGCACCAGGCCAAAATCTCCTCAGTTACACTGCTCCAACCCTATTGTCTTCAATGGGGCTGAACAGCCGTAAATGAGGCAGATCTGGTGCAGCATCTGGCTTGGGCCTTGTAACCGGGCGCAGACTCACCGGCGGCGCCTCCTGCTGGTTGTCTCAGGGAATTAGCATTCCAGCCTCCAGAGCGCCCTCTGTCGGCCGGTGTCTTGCCTTGCTGCTGGCACCCATGTCCCTGCCAGGACCCCAGTGCCCCTTTAGTATCCCACAGCTCTGTGTCTCCCCCTCCCAGGGGAAACCCCCCCCCACTATCCCCACCTTGCCTCAGTCCTAGGCTACTGCCAGTCACCAACTAGCCCCCCGCTCCCTGGGGCAGACTGCAGCATAAACCACTCATTACAGACGAGGGGGTTTGGACCTGCTGCCTCTGGCTACCCATGGCTGTCCCCTGCAACCCCAGTATCTAATAGGCCTTACCAAGCCTTCAGCCTGGGGCTTTCCTAGGCTGGAGCTCCCCAGCTCCCTTGGCCTATCCCCAGCCCTGCTCCCCTCCAGATACTTAGTTAAGCCTCTGCAGCCAGGCCCATCTCTCTCTCTGGGCTTCTGGCTCACAGCCTTTATAGAGCCAGCTGGACCCTGGTTGGGGCGTGGCCCCCAGCTGAGGCTGCTTCCCCAATCAGCCCCGCTGCCTTTCTCCTGCAACAGCCCTCTCTCAGGGCTGTTCTAAACCCCTCTGGGCAGGAGCGGGCGGCCACCCCGCTACAGCCCGTTTCGACTTGGTTTCAGCTGTGTAAATCCAGACTGATGTCACGGCGGTCAGCGGGGTGCCTCCAGAGCTGGCACCCTGTGCTGCTCCCGTTCAAGTCTGCCAGTTTCACCATTGGCTTTAGCATTAGATCCCCATCCTGCAGCGTGAGAGCGGGGCGAGGTGTCTATGGCGCCCCTACTGACCATGTAAAGTGTGCCATTTCGGGGCGATCTAGCGCTGGGGAAGAGAGAGTCTGAATAAGGAACAGTCACTCTGTGGCCATCTGGGTTTCCACAGTGCAACTTCCTGCTCCCAGGCGAGTATGAGAACTCCCCCCTAAACGTTTAAATTCTGTGAACCCAACCCAAATATCTACAGCCCCCTTCCAAAACTGCTCCCAGCTCCCATCGGCCGTTTGTGAATTAGCCCTTAGGTGGGTTGCAATCCCCTCCTTTCCATGTGATGAGTTGCCTGGTGGAATCAGTGCTCAGCCAGGAGCCTGTTTTGTGCCACTGATGTCCAGACACAGAGATCTTCCCAAGAGTGAACTTAATGGTTCTTTCTGACCTTAAAGTCTAAGGTTGGTGAGAGGCTGTCCAGGTTTAATGCAATTTCCTGGCTCCTGCAACAACAAAAAGTAGAACCCGACAAACTGTTTACAACCCATGCCGTAGATCGGAGTAGTCAATAGGCAGACCGCGGGCCAAATCCTGACCTGCGGATGCTTTTGAATGGACCCTGAAATCTTTTTATTTACAGTAGAACCTCAGAGTTATGAACTGACTGGTCAACCCCACACTGCATTTGGAACTGGAAGTACGCAATGAGGCAGCAGCAGAGACATCGCTCCTGCCCCCCCTACCCCCCCCCGCCCTGCATACACAAAAGCAAAGACCGTACGGTCCTGCATTAAACATAAACTACTAAAAATATAAAGGGAAAGTTTAAAAAAAAGATTTGGCAAGGTAAGGAAATTATTTCTGTGGTTGTTTCATTTAAATTAAAATGGCTAAAGGCAGCATTTTTCTTCGGCACGGTAAAGTTTCAAAGCGGCATTAAGTCAATGTTCAGTTGTAAACTTTTGAAGGAACCACCCTAACGCTTTGTTCCGAGTGACGAACCTTTCAGAGTGACGTACAACCTCCCTTCCCGAGGGGCTCGTAACTCTGCGGTTCTGCTGTACTGATCATCGTTATTGTTGTTGGGTGTTTATTATTTTCTCTGGAGTCTGGACCTTGACTCTACCTTGCCCAAGAAATCTGGACTTTGACAAAAAATAATTGACTGCTGTGCCCTAGATTTTATGTAACGCTCCTTCAGAATATGTTCGATTCACCCCATGCAACTGGAGCACACCCTGTGATTCCCAGAGACTCAGCAGGCTCCAGTGGAAAGTTTCTCAGTCAAAGAGCTCGCCAGCAATACTTGACCTCTGCCCATATTAGGGATGTAAATAGCATCTAAAAAAGTAAACATTTAAACCATTAAAATTGTATCGGGTAAATGTTTAATCATTAACGATTCACAATCGACCCCACATACCTATTATCTTTGTCAAGTGTCTTTACTAACAAAAACAGTTGTATGTGTAAAACCCATTCCTTTGTTTAACTTTTTACAAAATATCCCTGAGCCATCCTAAAACACAAAAAGCTGCACTAGAATTTCAACTCTGCTGCTGATTTTTGTGAAGAAACATTCACACGTTTACATGCTCTGGTGTCAGTCTTGTGCGCAGCCGATTAACAGGAAGGCCAGCATTGGAAAACACATGTTCTGCAGGCACAGACGGTCCTGGAATGCACAGGTAACTCTTTGCCAGTTTTCCAAGCCTTGGAAAACGCTGTGCACTGACCTTCCACCACTCCACTGGGCTGCGTTCCAATGAAGGACGAGGCTCCCTTGGCCCGCGCCGCTTCCTGCAGCCCCCACTGGCCTGGAGTGGCGAACCGTGGCCAGTGGGAGCTGCGATTGGCCGAACATGTGGAAGCAGCAGGTAAACAAACTGGCCTGGCCCGCCAGGGGGCTTACCCTGGCGTGCCGCGTGTCAAAGGTTGCCGGTCCCTGACCTAAAGGTTCCTTCAGTTCTTGGAATCTGTGAAAGAATCTGTAGTGGATGTGGCAGTGTGGTTAGATGTTCGGCTGCGTGTGTGTGTTCTCCTTGTGTGCTGCCCCAGCTCTGCGCAGACAGCCGGCACAGCAGACCTTGAGCGAAGCGCCCAATGACCACAAGATCAGTTAAGGTATGAAGGCACCAGACCAGGTTCATTGTCGACAGAGCACGGTAATAGCGCCTGGCAGACTCTACGAGGATACTAAGATGCTTATGCCCATGACAATGGACACAGCTCAGTGAGCGGCAGGACTTTCCATTCCCCCCTCAGCTGGACAAAGATTCTCCTCTAAGATACATCTTTATACCCTGATACAAACAAGTTAGTACTGCCCCTCTGTTATAGTTCGTTACTGGCCCCTGATGTGGCTAGTTGTTACCCATCACCTTGTACATGTTGGTTCAATTAAAACATCTCTATTATGTACTGTCATCCTGACCTTATCTTTTAGGAGGGGTCAGTGTGTTCCTGTTATCCTTGGGGGATGTTTTTGTACCATCCTTGATATCGGGATGTTCTGGTACCACTTGCTATCGGGGTGTGTTTGCGTGAGCACTTTGTGCCTAGCACGTCTTAGGAATGTGTGTTTCTGCAATGTCAGCCCTGTTCTTGCCAGATGCTGTGAATTTGCAATCAGGCAGAGCTTGACGTTTGCTAACTTTGCTTTATATCGGCAAACTTTGCCCACTGCTTTAGCTCAGGCCAGGCCTCTGATACAAGGGCTTCTCTCTCTGGCTCTCTTCCTACTACAGACAGTACTTGGCTTCAAATCAGAAAGGGATTTTCCAGCTGGGGGTAACTAGCATAGTACACAGACTGAGGTTTTTGACATCAAATTAATATGGATTTAGAGCAGCCCGTTTAATTGTGCCCTGATTTTCCAGTGACAGAGAATTCTGTGCTGTTCCATTGAGTACTTTTAAAAAAAATAGTATTTTTGGTTCAGCCAGACCTGCCGTATTTACGATTTTTGTGTGTATTCTTGCTAATGCTTTACAGCTTTTAACCTGCCCCTTTTGGTTTCAAGGTGATGCAGAGAACATGCCCTCAAAGGTTATAATTATAAATTGCAAGACCATTACAAGATCATTTTGTGCAGCGTCCCCCAGTGTGCCAACTAATGTAGGACTCTGCATGAGTTTCTTTTATGTGCAGGTGAATTCCTATGGGAATATATCTGATAGTCTTTTCTGCAAGTCTGTTGCTCTCCAGGTTGTGGCTCATTGGTAAGGAATTTAGTTGGCTGGATATCAGTCCAGTATTGGGGGGAGGGATAGCTCAGTGGTTTGAGCATTGGCCTGCTAAACCCAAGATTGTGAGTTCAATCCTTGAGGGGGCC